TTCCTATCAGGAAGCAAGACTGTGTCTGAGCTGTGGGGCAGCCAGGGACTTTCCAGCTGTATTTGCTCATGGTGTGTAACCTCAGCTGAGCAGAGCAGACAGGGATGTGATGACTTGGATGGATCTGGGCCAGGGCTGACATGTCAAAGGCTGCCATGGCACTAAAACCAGGGCTGCCTCACGGGTCCCTGGAGGTGGCTGGGTCTGGCCTGTGGGGATCTGGGACAGAACAAAGCAACCATCCAGTTTGGGTTCAGCTGTGGCTGAGCTTTTCACAGAAAGGATCTGTGTCTGATTCTGATTTGATAACAGTGGAAGCTCCTGTGGGTGAAAAGTGGTGAGGGGTCTGGGTTCAGAGGCTAGAAAGGTTGAGCAGATGGGAAGAGCCATGAAGGAATGAACAGGAGAGTGGAACTAGAAAGGAATCAGTGGGACTGTCATGTTCAGGACAAGGGGATAGGTGAAGTTTGGGGTACTTCTTCACTCCCAGTTACCTCCTCTGCTGTTTCTTTGGGGCACACAAGAAGGTCTCGATCGATAAAGAGCTCAACGAGTGCTGGTGCCCTGCAGCAGTGCTCCTGATGGCAGCTGGTGGTGCTGCAGAAGTAAAGTGATGGTTTCCAGCATCTTGTAATGATGATGTGTTTTTCCAAGCCAGTGAGTGGAAGCAAATTTGCAGAACAGATCCGTGAAAGAGGACCTGTGCAAAGGTCTGCCAAGCTTGCCAGCAGCCAGTTCCCACACCTAGCTGGCTCAGAGGCTTTTCCAAGTGCCCCCATGAGCGCTGAGGCTGCTGAGAGGAAGAGTTTAAGGAGCTGAGCTGGGTCATTGGACAACGGGGGCTCAGAGCTGCTCCCACAGACTCTCTCCTGCTCATTTATCCTCTGAACTATCATCAAACTGGCTCAAGAATCCTTTTTCCTTTATTCTATTCTCTTCAGAAGAGAAGTTAATCTCAGTAAATGCATCTCTTAAGGGACCTAATCCAATGAAACTGATTTTGTTTAGACTTCAAGGCACTACTAAAACACATGATAAATTTATTTCTTTGAACAAAGCCTCTTCCTGCTTTGAAGTCCAAAATGAGCAGATGCTGCATTTGCTCTAAACAGCCAAGGGTATATGTATGGGATGTGATTACTCTCATTTAGGGCTATCTGTTGAGATTTTCTAGGAATGTGACTGCCAGATGGATGTTTGAAGGACTGTCAGGCCTTGTAAATACGTCTGTGTTTTCACTCAGGTGCCTGCCAGAGCTCTGAAGTCACTTTATTGGGGACTACAGATACTGTTGAGCTCATGACTGCCTCTGAACTGTTGAGCTGTACCTCTTTTAAGTAACACAAGGAAGATAAAAGTTGTATTTGCTATTAGATCTTACCTCTGTTAATGAGTAAAGAAATGTAAACAAAGTTGTTTGGGTATTGTGGGTGCCATTCACCTTTCCAGCCAGCCTCTACTGGCAATAGTACATGTGTATGCAAAATAAACGAGAGAATTGCAGTGGCCATAAACAGCTCTATCTGGTCCCAAATATTGGTTTTTGGAGGCTGTGCTAGCAGTTTAAACATTGGGGCCACTGCAGAGAAACAGCCAGTGGTGGTTCCGAGCTGGCACAGCTCATGGTGCTGCTTGCACCCAGGGCTTTTCCTCACAGGACCATGAGCAGGATTCTGAACAGAGAAGAAAAAAAATATTGTAAATACAAAATCTGGGGAGCATTAAGGTCAGACCGGGTTGTTGAATTATGTCTGAATTTTTAGCCCTGCTGTGTTGACAGCTGCTTTCAGGGCTGCCACACTGGCATGGAAGCCGGGGGCTCATGCAGTGATACACACTGCTATGTGGAAGTGGAGCCTAATCCCTCTCTTTCACCTCCCCTTGATTTCAGTATCAGCACTTGCCTATGACTAAGTTACTTTTGCTAGAACCCAGGGCAGAAAGTCTGTCTGAAACCCTTGTCCAGGCTGTCTGGCCCCCATGGTGCTGGTACAGGGCAGTTTGACATAACTGGGACAAGTATTTTTCTGGTTTAAAATTGGTGGCACACGGTGCTCTTCCTCAGCTGCCACACCTGCATTGTGCTTGGGACCAGCCTCTGGCACATCCCTTCCCTGGGGGGGGTGCCGATCTGTGGCGGGTGGGAGGCTGAAAGGATGGGCAGGGACCAGGCAGGTGGCTCAGCCGCATCCATGGCACGAGTGTGGGTCAGCGCACCAGTTGGGAATCACGGACCCAGGGCAGGCACGTGGATTTTGGCTCTGCTTTTGCCCTCAGTGCTCTTGGAGCCTCCTCCACCCATCCCTCAGAGATGGTTTGGCTCCCGAATGGTCTCAGAGAGCAACTGGCCAAGGTGAGTCTGGCTGTTTGCACCTTTGAGCTGCTAATCACCTCCCAGGTTTTTGCGATAAGACATTAACTGTTAGGAGGAGCCTGTTCTGATGTGGCACAGGGGAAGTGCTTGGTGCTGTGGATCGGAGCTCCCTGGTTCATCTGACAGACACACGGACATCAATGCAAGCACTGGGCTGGGCACAGGATCTGCTTTCATTCTATCCCTGCAAACATTCTGTGCTTTGGCAGGACGTGTCTGTCGCCGTGGGGCGCTGCCGATGCTGGTGGGGCTGTGACTATGGACGGAGTTGTGCATGGAGGGGATGGATGTGGTGTTTGCACAAGGGAAGTCAAAGGGCACTCCGAGGTGCAGTGTGTGGGGTGGGGGCTGCAGCTCAGCTCTGTGCTCATGCACGGACTGGGGAACTCGCCAGTGGGGTGGGTATGGCCTTCGAGGGGATAATTCTTTCCCAAACGTGGCTATAGCCTGTCCAGGCTGCACAGCAGCCTAGTGCCTCCTCTGGCACATGATGCCACGGAGGCCGCTCCGTGGCTGCCCTGGGGTATGGCACGTTACACCCTGAGGAGCACCTTATATCCTTGGGGGTGCATGATCAGCTGCTCCTCTGTCGCAGCCTCGTGTGTGCCGCGCTGTGCAGTCACTGCAGCCTCTGCCCACTGCTCTCTCAGCTTCTCAGCCCCTCCACAGCGCGTGGTTTCTACCTGAATGTTATCACCTCCGCACTGGAAACAGCAGCAGCCTCGCAGGAGGCTTGTGCAAGGGCTCTGGAGCCGGTTATGTGGCAGACTGGGGGGGCCCGGGTCCCCTCGAGTGCCCTCCCCGGGGCACACCCCCAGCAGCAGGCAGGGGCTGCTCACCGGCGGGATGTGGGGAGGGGGCTGGAGGCGATGCCGCCCGCTTATCACGGGGCAGGGGTCGGTGCCCTTTAC